GCAAGACGGCGATGCCCCCCAAGATTTCGCTCGAGAGCGTTTACGAGGGCGATGCGCCCAAGGAAGTGCAAAGCGACTACAAGCCTTCCAGGCCCACAACTGCCGAATCCGCGCCTGTCAAGACGGAGCAACCCAAGGCCGCGCCCGAGCCAACACATGCGCCGCTAGCTTCCCGTGGGCCCCCACCTTCGATGAGGGACAACAAGGATTCCATGGCTTCTGCCGCGTCCAAGTACGCAGACAAGGATAACGCTTCCGACGATGAGAGCGCATCCAGCTTCGAGGAGATTCCCAAGCCCGCAGACCGCCGTAACTTTACTGCTGCGCGTCAAGAAGAGAAGACTAGGGGTCCTGTCATGACCAAGGAACCTGAGCCAACAAGGCCTTCTTCCAGCCAGACTGCTACCCCCACTCAGTCCAAGTCTGCGACAACGGCTAGCCCCTCTGCCGCACCTGCAGCTGCATCCACCTCTGCCGCAGCAGCTAGCTCCGGCGGCCCTGCATCTGCTCTCCGTGACGCACTAGGCGACATCAAGTCTCAACTCGAGCAGCAAAACAGGGTCATGTCAGATCAATCGGACCAGATTGCCATTCTGCTGCGAGAAGTCGCCCAACTCAAGGCAAAGGTTACCAACTCTGAGCCTTCTGATCGCGAAAAAGACGAGCGTATCCGGCAGCTCGAGCTTGAACTTGAGGAAGCTCGATCTTGATTTTCAAAGTGCAGACCCTTAAGCGTTTAGCCTCAACGATACTAGTAGTATTGATTCGCCGTGAAAGATGTCATTGTTTGGATAGGTGCAGTTGAAGGGGCGTACGTATCGCTGTGGCATCTGTTTGATTAGGGAGGCGGAGGTGAGGGGGAGATAGCAAGCGTGGACAGGGTAAAAGCAGGAGTTTGTATGATGATCAAGCGAGACTGCCCCTGTGTATGCGTACTTGATTTGTTCGTTTTTGTCCGTCTGTCGAAACCGGGCTTTTGCTAGCAAGGTGTCTGGGTTAGCGCCATGGTCTTTGATTGAGTTATATATATACACTTCATCTCTTTTGATTCATACCTTTTTTTTTGTCTACATTGCCGTCGAGGTGATGTGTCTTGAATACAAGTGCAGGGTATCGAGTAACTAGCAAAAGAGACACATCAAATACAAAACAATCAGAAAAACAAACAAGCATCATTCTACTCTGCAAAACTCACCTATGAACTGCCACTACTTATGTACATTGCAAGTAGTGTCCAGTAAGGGACTTTGATATCAAAAAAAAAGCAGGAAATGGAAAAAGTGGATAAAGTAAACAAGAAAAAAAATATGAAGAAATACCGAGAAAGTCCCACAACGACCTGAACACTTCAAAAGTCGCTCCGCGTTTACTTGGCCAGCTTGATAGCTAGTAAGTAACAGCCTAGCCAGCAAAGCCAAGAAGACATGGGAAAATATGTGTATAAAACCCCCCCTTTCCTTTCCACACGTTGTCATGCCATCCCAAAAAGCCCAACACCCAACCCAAAAGGGGTCGGAAAATCTCTCCATTACTCCAGCCCATTGTTCTGGCACATGCAAAAATGACAAAAAAACAAACACATTCATCAAAGGGCCTCTTTCTTTCGCTTACGAAGAAGTCTTGGTCTGTTTCTTCGCAGTACCAATATGCGTATTGTGCACCTTTGTCGCAAACTTGAGACTGGTAATCGTTTCCTGCAAATGTGCCTGGAGCGGGCTAACCATGACGAACATGAGGGTCTTGGAGTTGCCGCCGAGCGAGTATTGGAGGAGATAGGTGAGCTGAGGTAGTTCGTTAGCATTATCAACAAAAAAGAAAGATTGCTACGTAAATAACACAATCTCCCTCCCTCACATACCTTTGAGTTTCTGTACGGAATGTGACCGCCTTCTTTTGCTGAGCCAAGAGCGTTGATTACGTCGCCCAGACAGCTCAGACTCTTGTTGATGTTCTGTGTCTCTTTTAGGCGTGCGCCTTCGACCTTGGAGTGCTCGAGTCGCTCGGATCCCGCAAGATCGACTAGGTTGAGTGTTCCCTCGCTCCGTTCACCCGTAATGTCATTGGTACCAACAAGCCTGAGAATAAAGACCGAATGACTTCGACTTGATCGCATGTTGGCTTTTGTAGCAGCCACAGTCCTGTTCTTGCTGGCCGTTTCGAGAATCTCCTCGACACGGCCAGGGCCATCCAACATAACACTCACGGCATTGTCCAGGTTAGTCTGCTTCTTCACAGGGTCATGTCGAACTTCGACCTTTTTCTTATCCAGGTCTTCTGACCGACCAAGCAGGTCATTGTATGTTTCGTTGTACACCTCAATGAACGAACCCTCCATTGTGTATCGCCAGCCTTTTTCTTGCAACCGCTGCGCTTCATCCCAAATCTGGGCGGTAGCACGCGGAATCATACCGTCAGCTGATGACATGGTATGTGTCTTTCCAGATCCCGTCTGACCGTAACAGAAGATGCACACGTTGTAGCCATCGAGAGCGCTCTGTACAAGCTGACTAATCTCCTCGAAAACTTCTCCGTTCTGCGACGCCGGACCGAATACACGATCAAACGAGTACGAGTATGAGGCAGTGATGTCCTTGCCAGTTGCGCTCTGCTTGCTTGGGCCGGTAATGGCGACTTCCTTGCTGTCGGTGTCATTATCGGGGAAGGAAATCTGCGCCGGGTCCCTCTCGGTATCATGCGCCGGCCGCACACGACACATAACTCGGATGTTGCCCTTGAGCTCTTGGACTTGGTTGAAGAGCTTTCGGCGCAATGTCTCTTCTTGTCGGAGTTTGTCGTGTGCTCTTTCCGCAGCCTCAATGGCATCTTGCATTCTCTTGTGAAGGTCGTTGAAGGCAGATGACTGCGCCTGGCTGTCAGACTCGAGAAAGTTAATCTTCTCTTTCATCGCCTTGTTCGCTGCCTCCAGCGTAAGGTTGTGTGTTGTTGCTTCTGTTAGTTGGTTCTGGAGGCCAGTCTTGAGGGTTCTTTCGCGATCGAGTTCTGACTTGACGTTGGTGAGCTCGCCTTGCAGGAGCTGTGCCTCGCGTTGCTTGACATCTGCATCTAGAGCGGCAGCTCGGAGTTTGGAGGCATACTCTTCCTCAATCTTTTGGGCCTCCTGTGCGCGCCTGCTCCGCTCCGCTTCAGAGTCCGAGTCGAGCTTCTTGCGCAACACTTGAATCTCCTCCTCATGCTCTTTCAATAACTTATCGATCCGTGCCTCGAATTCCATGCGTGTCTTTCGCTCTACCTCGTCTCGTTCCCGTTCCAACCGATCTGTGTCTTTTCGGTGTCGCGATTCCAAGTCTTCAACTTCGTTGCGCAACCTCCGTCGAACGTCATCAACTTCATATGTGTGTTTCTGCTGGGCCATTTCCAGTTCCATCTTGACTGATTTGAGACTGGTACGGCTATCGTTGAGTTCGGTCTCGAGACCCTTGTTCACAATCTCCAGGCGCGCGCGGATGGTTTCGAGCTCGGTAACTCGGCCTTGGAGCTGCTGAATTGATTCCTTGTAGTCAGTGGCTTGTCGTACATCCATCTCCATCTTCTCCTTAAAGGAGCGAAAGTCACGTTCCATAGCCTCCATTCGCTCATTGTAGAAATCTGGACAACGATCGTTAGTAAAACGGCTTAAAAATGGCGCCGGCTGTAAACGCCTCGGCGTGATTGACATGGGCCGACAGGGTGATTGATCTATCTGTTGCTGCTGCTGCTGCTGCTGCTGTCGCCGACGCACAGGTGTCTGCACTGGCTGAGGGAGGTGTGATAAAGGAAGTTTTGGCTTAAGAAAGGAGCTCGTTCCATTGTCAGAAGCCATTCCGCGTCCGGTCCGACTTTCATGCCTCTCTGCCTTGGATGCGACTAGATTGAGTGCTCCAAGTCCAGTGCAGATGACATCGCAGTCGGTCACGACGGGCTCTTCAATGACTGGAGTGACAGGGGAAAAGGTGGAAGGAGAAGAGACTGTTCGGGACTCTGGCACACGAACAGGTTGTACTTGGAAATCGTATGGGGGAGTTGTGCGCTGTTTAGGGACTGAAAACATCCCTCTAGATACTGTGGCATGGGCGAATAGGTTTGAAGACATAAGAAATTGTTGCACACCTTTGCGCTCTGCTTGTTCACTGTCGTCATCATCCGGTCGATTCATCATTGACGTCGCAGGGCGGGATCCTTGGTGGTAGGACTTGCTCCTAGTGTGTGTACTTTGGCCATAGGCCGATTTCGGCCTCGTGGTTGGGGCGGGTCTAGGAACAGCGCCGACGCTGCTTGCGTAGGCAGATACAGATGTGCTCTTGACTGTCGATTTGGGCATTGCGCGCGAGGTCGAGGCCGCCATGCTGCGAGCAACAGCGGACTTGACGCCATTGGCAATCTTGGATGGTGCGGGTAGCCTTCGCGAGGCGGGTTCGGGGGCTTGTTCAGCCAGTGTCCTCCGTTGCTTGAAGGCCGGCTCCGGTACTGTCGTGGTCAGCAAAAGAGTGTGCCTTTGGGGGGTGTGGCGAGGGGTAGAGTACAGCCAGAGGGCTTGTGCTTTGCGGTAGGTATGGGCATTGCGCTGCGCACGTTGGTAGTGGACTCGTGCAATTCACCAAGGGCGCGAGTGGGTGAGGATGGGATGTGGGAGAATGTCGATGGCGGCTTGATTCCTGAGCGTTTGGTGCTACCCTTAGAATGCGTTAGATTAGACATGAACGGGCCAGGGGATGGCTCTAGGGATGCCCACAGCGTTCTCGTTGGCGGTCTCCATGGTGTGATGCGTGGCAAAGTCTAACGAAAGAAGGATATCAACAAAGCATGCTCCGTCGCGGTCAACAGCACGGGCGCGTCCAGAGGCGGTTGCGGTGATGTTGCGGGAGTGTGATATCCAGTGTTTGGGTTGCGCTCGGACGGTAAACATACAAGGCGCGACCCACCGTCCCCGTAACCACACGCTAGATCAGACTCGGTTTAGCACCGGCACTCTCTGTCAACCTGTACAACCAGCGAGCCTGCATGACGTTCGGCAGGGCAACCAGGCTCAGTCGTCTATCCATTCATCCGTTGGTTCATTCATTGGGTATCCCCGCCGTATACTATGTACGCTATCAAATATCCCGCCCAACGCCAACGCGCCGTGCCAATGCCAATGTCCATGATATGCCTGCCATCTATGTACTTGCGTGCGGAAGAACAGCCCGTCTAAGTAACTACACGTGCATGGCCATAGAAACCCAGAGTCGTCTACGCTGCCGCTTTGGAGTATGCTATACCTGCTTCACAAACGCTTTTATAATGTCAGTCGTCTGGAGTCCTGGAAACACATGCAACGAGTAAAACTTACTGGCATCAATCTGCACAACCTGTGGTAGCGCAAGTCGGATCTTGTTCCGGTACAAGGCTGGCTGCGCCCGTTGCAGAGGGTTTCCCTCGAAATACACCGTTTCCAGTTCCTCCTTGTCTCTCAACTCTTGTTCAATCTCGCCAAAGTCGCTCAGTTTGCAGTTGCTCGCCCAAAACTCGGTAAGGTGCTTAAGGCCCTTGAGTCCTCCGAGGTGCTCGATGGGATTCGCGCTGATGTCAATGACACTGAGATTGACGTTGTTTTCTAGCCCCGATATCTCTGTAAGAAGATTGTGTGAGACGTGCAATTCTTCCAAGTTGACGAGCTTCTCCAACCCTGTAATGGACCGCAGCCGGTTCGACTGTATGCTCAAAATCTTGAGGTTCGTAAGCGTATCCAAGCCCTTGATCTCGGTGATCTTGTTTTTTCCTAACCACAGCTCTTCCAGTCCAGTCAGTGTCTCCAACCCCTGAATCTCCCGTACCCTGTTTGCGCCCAGCTCAATCTGTCGCAGATTGGTGAGCCCTTCCAAGTTCTCTATGGTGCCAATCTTGTTCTGCACAAAATACAGATCCTTGAGCTTTGTCATGTGATTTAGCCGCTTGATGTGCTTGATCTTGTTGAAGGACAGGTCGAGCGATGTGAGTTCAGTAAAGGCATCGAGGCCCTTGATATGCGCGATAAGATTGTCATAAAGGTCGACTTCTGTAAGGCTCGATGCGAGTTCTTCTGGTATCGCAATGCTTTCTATTCGGTTTTGGCGAAGACAAAGACGCTGCGATGTTAGACCCTCTTGTTCGTGTCCCACCCCAAGAGCGACATACCTTCATCTGTTTGAACCTCTCTAGTCGCAATGACGACATATCCGAAACCTTGCAGTGCACTAGCTCGATCTCTTCTTCATCGTCCGGCACATCGTCCAGTAGGTCTTCATCTGCAGCCAGCTGTTCTGGTGGGGGTCCCTCATCATCTGATACCTCTGGATCACTCAATATTTGCGCGTGTGGATCTCTTGGCTCGTCGGTGAGCGTCATCCTGTCTACTCGTAGCTTTCCATCCCAAGCGTTGCTATCTCGTGGTTTCTGCTCATCTGTGTCTTGCTCACGCGTCTCCTTCGCGTCGGCCGTGGTTGCGGGGTCGCTTTCGGCATGCGGGGCAGAGTTTGGCTCAGCCATCATGCACGGGACGTGGAGAGGAAGAGAGGGCGGCGGTAGTTGTATGCTGCGGGTCGAGTGTTGGCAACAAAAGGCTGAGATTTTGAGGGACAACGGTATATTCTGGAAGGCGGTGTTCCTAGTGTGGAGTTGAGTATGCAAGTAATGTACTTACCTCGTGGGTGGCTAGGCTGCTAGGCTGCTACTAGCTAAACTCTGCCTTAGCAAGGGTCCAGCATGATGACGAATGCCATCGTTTCACCGGACAGTTAGTATTCAGATTCGTCTGACTACCGGTTGTGAATCTCAAAAGAAAGCATCGCCCCACCTCTTGTCTCATACCTATTCCTATTGCCGTCACGAATTCAAAATTAAGACAATCCTTGGCGTTCTGTTGAAACTTCAACAGCGCAAGCATCGCCAAAGAACATACTAATACTAGAATACTAACATGTTGACGATATTAGAAGTACATGATGTTCAAGTACAACGCTACCAAGCTCGATCTAATCCATATGTCACTATACATCGGATGTTCAGAATAAATTACCCATTCACCAGATGACGACTGATCTCTTCACCTCCTTCGACTACCCCACACCTTCAGAAACTCAATCTTCGTTTCCACACCTAGACCCACCCTCTTTACTCTGCCCAAGCGTGCAAGATCCTCGGCAACCCGCTCAAGCACCTTTTGTTCTTCAGGACTGACTTCATGGCCGTCGTCGGCACCGCCAGCATCAACATCCATGCCATCTCCAGCCCCGCCATCTTTGCCAATGAATCCGTCTTTGAAATCGGATTGTTCGAAAATGTTTGCGTCATAGCCACTAGCCGTTGCCTTGCTCTTATGTAAATCCGATGTTGCTTTTGCTGGAGAATCCTGATTTGTGCTATTGTACACACGCGAGGCGATACGGACACGCATTTGGTGCGATGGCTTGCTGAGAAGACGCCAGAACCAAGAGAAATAACCACCAGGGACAGGAGTGGTCACATCCTGCGGTGTGTACCTGAGGTTTACAGGATATATTTTGGTCTTGCCATCGGCGCTTAGCAGACTAGGACACAGCGGTAGAATGCCCCTTCCGTTTGTTGTAGTAGTCTCGGGGAAGACACATATGATCCTGTCGGGGTTTTCGCTAATGAGTTGTTTGAGCGTGACGAGCTTGGACGGATCGTGTGGAGTCAAAGAAGGCGGCGAGAAGGCGAGCAAGATGGCGCGGAAAAGGGTTATGCGCTCGACCTTGCGGAGGTGCGGATAGGACTTTGTGAAGATTGGCTGGAAAATGCCCGCAAGGTAGAGCGGGTCGAGAGGCGAAGTAAAGGATGAAGCGACAATGGTGCCGGCCTTAGGCAGATGATTTTTGGCCGAGTATAGTTGTCTGCCATGTTTGTCAGCTCAAATGTCGCCGAAAATATGAGGCCATCCTGTAAATTTCAATCCTTTGCACGGAAATGAACTTACCCTCTCTTGACCCCATCAACCTGCAAGTCCACCCACCACACTCCCGGAATTCCTAGCATCAGCCACAGTACCACATATTTCAGCCTTCTGCCCACAGGTATGAACTCGAGGCCAAAGAAGTACAAAAGCGAAAAGGCAATGACGAAAGGCGTGCGGACGCAGAAGAGGAAGAGGTATATCGGATGCCAGAGGATGCCGACTGGCGGGGGTGGCACGGGGAGGAAAGGCGCAATTGCAGTGCCTGTGCCGAAGTGTGAGCAGGTAAAGCCGGAATCAATGTCTGCGGCTAGAGCAACAAGAGCTACTTTGAGGAGGATTGGGTAGTAGTAGTGGTGGTGGTGGTGGGAGCGGTCGAGTGCATGGATTCTGTAGACGCACCTTTGTCGCGAAATTGGCTATATTTTTCCATAGCGAGGGGAAGGTAACAAGATAAAGACAGGGAGACGAGTGTGGGCGATGTATTAACCAGCCATGCACCACCAAGACTGCGAGTCGTATATTGGAGGAGAGGAAGAGGAGCAGGGCACAGCGACGAGTAGGCCAAGCGACGATGCAGCCGCGGTGGAGCAGAGCAGCAAACAAACGAGGCCAAACCTACTCTGTCGTGTTTGGTGACGGACTAAATACCCAAAAAGCCTCCCGCTCCGGACCTCTTCAGTGTGGCCACAAAGCTGCTGCTGGAATGTCGTCCTTGGGCTAGGGGTAGGTACCTTTGGCTAGTATGTGTAGCATCGTGTGTCACTTTTGGGCGGGATGGGTGATGAGTGGCTGTGCACCCGCCCGCTCCAACGGGCGGCGGGCAGCATGTGAATGCCAAGCCTAGGGTTCCATCTGCATCCAGCATCCAACGTCATCATTGCATGTGCAAGCCCCAGCCATCAGGTATGCCCTGGCTCTCACATGGGTTCACGATATGCATGGCGCAATGCCGCGGCAGCCAATATCTGGGTTGACAAATAGAAGGGGTATTGTTGACTATCTGAACTTCTACGGCCCCTACTGGCATCTGGATGCGTCTGCAGGCACCTTGTGCTTCAGCCTCGCCATACAAAAAACAGGAGGAAAAACAAAAGCTGAGAGTTACGAGGGGCATCAAAGCACGCTCCAGTCGTGGGGATGAATAGACCTTGCCTGTTCCCGCCAGCAATGCAGAACCAAGAAAAGAATAACACAAAACGTACAAAGGAAATGGTACTGATAGTAGATACTACAAGACCTCAAAGAGGCCAGGCGTCGCATATGCTGAAAAAAAGGGGGGTATGTGCCAATATTACTGTGGATTTTCGTGGCTCTTCAAGCCAAAGGGACGCCGTTGTGCGCCGGTCCTCCTGTTTTTTTGCGCGCAAAAGCCGAAGTAGTGCGCGCCAGCCTAGTGTCAATGACTGGAAATGATGTGGTCGAGACGCATCGCCACAGAACATGAGCGTGCGGTGGTGGAAAAATGGGGCGTGCAATTGTGACACTCTAGCACGGTCTTGCACGGCAGCTTGTACAGCCGTCGCGCACTGAGCCGCTTTTTATGCAGATTAAAAGCTGATTACAAGGTACAGAGTGGAATAGGTAGGGGTGTTGCTTCCTACGGTTTGCGCCCGAAGTAAAGTGATTATGTCGGCGCGATGAGAAGGGTATGCGCAAAGGGTATCCTCTTTCGTAATGATCGTCTCGAGCATGCTTACAAAGCCACGTCAAGCACCAGACTGACGTCGCTGACTTGCTGGCCAGCGAGATCCTCAAGCACCGGTATCAGGTCGAGGAGTTCGTTGTCGTGTGCGTCAGAGAACCAGCTGCTGATGGGGACGGCGTGTTGCGGATGGAAGATGTAGGAAGTGGGCGAGTTGTCAATAATAATGGTATCCTTGAGGTCGCGGCCAATCTGCGAGAGATCCTGCGCACAGGCATTAGCGTCTGATTGGAATCTGACTTTGGGCTCATCATCTCACCTTTACGTAGTTGCCCTGGTGGTTGTAGCAGCTTTCGCGGAAAAGTCGGTGGTGAACAACGCCATGGATGTCGAGCTGATCAAGGAGGGGATCACCATACTACTCTCGTTAGCGGAATTGCCGGAACAAACAATGCAGCCACGTACTTTGGAAACAGATGCTGTGAAAACCACCACTTCATACAGTTCGCCCACTCGCTTCATGAACTGGTCCACGCCCGGTCGCTTGATGACATAGACATTGTGGTACTGGCCTTCAATCTCGACGGGGATTGTGAAGTCTGCTTGGTGCAGAATCTACATCAAATCAGTAACTAAATAGGTGCAAATACCGTGGTCATAACAACATACCTTGAAGCTGCTGTGGACCAAAGTCTCGTCGAGGTCGAGAACCAAGCACTTTTTCCCCTGGAACCTGGGTGCAATGGGTCCCAAAAGGTACTTTTGCTCCTCTGGCGCCTCACCTGCATCCGCAACCTGCTCCTGCACAGCCACCTGTCTCTCAGCTAGCGGTGGCGGGGGAGGCAAATCGACCTTGGGATGCTCGGGTTCAGCGTCAGCGTCGGCTGTGTCGGCCTCGTGCGGAACGTCGTTGGGTGCAAGCGGCACATCTCGCATTTCAATGTCGCTGTCAATCTGCTTCTGCTCTTCGGTCTGGTCCTCTATTATACGCTGCTGTTCGGCGGACGGGCGGGGCAAGACTGGGGTAGCGGCGGGCGTGGGGTCGGTGATGCTTATCTGAGGATGGCCAGTTTGTAATGTAGCGGGTTGAGGGGCCGAGGTTGCTTCCGTTTGCTGTCTCTGGGACGGGCTTCTCGTCACCGTCTGGGGGCCATGCTCGACTGGCGGCTGCTCGGTTGTGCCGTCGCCATGAGTGGGCTTCTCGCCAAGACTCGAGCCCAATGTCTCAGTTCCCGTCTTTTCGTCGAGGGGCTCCTTGGAGTCGGTTTTACTTGACTCGGCAATGGTCGGCTCCTGCTTCTTGACGGGCGTCGACTGCGACGTGCGCCCTGCAGGCACCTTCTGGGCCTGCTTGACATTCTCGCTAGGGGCCGAGTCGCCGGCGAGGCGAGACTCCTTGGGGGCAAAGCAAGGCAGGCACGACAGCAACCCGCCCTTGCGCGTCTTGCTCCTCGTCGATGCAGGGCGGTCGGCCGTCGCGGGCAGCGGGGGTGGCTGCTCCGTCTTCTCTGAGGGGGCAGCACGCGGCTGAGAGCGTTTGCTGCTCGCGGTGCTGGCGGCCCGTCGTTTGCCCATGAGGCTTCGCTTGGAGGCGCGTCCTATGCTCTCGGCGTCTGCTGCAGTGGTTGCGCCGCTGAGGCCGGTGTTGGGCGTGTGGTTGTCGCTGGACTGGGGGCCCGGCTGGGGCACGTTGAGCAGGGAAGGGGAATTCGAGGCGATGGCAGCTGGCTCACGGTTAGCGGTCGCGTCGGAGCGAGATTGGCCGGCGGGAGGGCTGGGCCGGGTCAAGAGCGTACCGTTGGCGGCAGATGCGTCAGCAGAGGGCTGCACTGGTTCGGCGCTCATAGTTTTCAGCGCGTCGGCGGGCGCAGGCAGGGAGGGCGCGCGGGGGGCCAAAGGGGGGTGCAGAGAGGCAGAGGGGACGGGGAGGAGAGGACGAGGGCGAGGGCGAGGGCGAGGGCGAGGGCGGAGCGAGAGGTGTCTGGAGCGTCGTCGTGTCGTGTGGGGGGAGGGCCTCGTGCGTGGTTGGGAGAGACGGAGGTACGTAGCTGAGGGCGGCCGGGGGTGCGCTCTCGCTCTCGCTGCTGTCGGTGCGTGTCGTGGGCCGCTGCTGGTCGTGGCAACAACGGGGCCGGTCGCGGCTGCTCGCTCAGCTCGTCAGGGCTCGAGATGGAAGGCGCAGTCACGGTCGTCGCGCAGCTGGGGAAGTCGCGGTCTCGTCGAGGGCGTTCGAGGAGGGAAAGGGCGATGGGGAGCTTGGATCTGCTGCTTGGGATGAGGCTGGCTCGCTAGCACTAACGCGGGCGGAAATGAGGACGCCGTCTTTCACCGTCATCAGCGCCAAAGCTCCACCGCAACCGCAACCGCAACCGCCAATTCACTCCCACGCCCTCGCCCGCCCCCTCGCCTGTCAACCTGCTGCCCTCTGTGCCACCCACTACGCCCAAGGCTGCGCCGCCCAGCTCATGCTCCAACGCCTGGCCAGCCAACCACGGCCACGGCCTCTCTTCACGGCGGGGCCCACTGCCCGCGGCCTTTGCCTCCCCCATTCGCCCCTAGCCTGCAATTGCTCTAGTCGGGTCCACGGCCAGACCCAAATTCAATTCTTCTCCACGCTGCCCATCTCAAAGCGCGAGGCCGTTCATCAGCCATGCACCCAATCACGCCCTCCGCCGCTTCATGCACCCAGCGCTTCGCACGGGAAATGACTGCCAAGCGCCATTATGCCTACATGCTGCTACGGGCCAGGGGCGTGGCCGTGGCTGGGCAATGCACATGGGTACATTAGCCAGAGTGGTGACAGTTCAGCACGCAGCTTCGTCGCTGTCATCCTCCTCGTTGTCCTTGACTGTCCGGCAACTCCCTTCAATTCAGGCCCGCGACAACCATGCTTTGCGCCCTGCATAACTACGACCTGGCCACCCTTGGATGCGACCGACTCTTGGGCCACGCGACCGTTCGTGCAGCCACAAGCTCGCAGCTCGACTCACGGCTAGCCGCCATGCACGGAGAACCATCGGCTCCTTGGCCTATCACAGCCAATGGCTTCCATGACCCCGGTGCACTTCTGCCGCCCGTGTACTGGATCCATATTGAATGCACTGACACTATTCCTCCAGCGGCGCATGAGCATTGTCAACGGACCCTCAACACTTGTCCTCCTACTTACTCGGCCGCTGCCTGCGCCTAAGTCCCCACCATGTCACTGTCCGGCTGCCTCCTCATCTTTTACTGCCATGTCCACTGCTCCTCTCACTGCTGTCACATGTCAAAACTTCTGACGCGTTCCACTGTGGCGAGTGTGGTGCAGAGCGGGCCGTCGCACGTCGAAGTCATCCCGCGTCGATCTTGCAGCTTGATGCGGCCCCATCCATGTCCGCATCGTCACAAGGCCAACGTCCTGTCTCTGAGGGTGTGCGGTATCCGGCTTCCCGCCCATTGTGCGCAACGGCTTGCAGAGCAAGTTTCCGATCAACAGTCAGCCGTTATTGCTATACATATACCAATACGCACCGATGCACATTTGATCATGGTCACTCATTACACTGCAGCCTAGCATGAAATTTGCCCTTGGAAATACATGTTGAATAATTGTACAAGCTAACGAAGCGTCCCCATGCGTACATGTGTACGTACATATACAGTGGCCTTGGCGGCATCTGTTTGTCGCAACCGCTCAAAAGCTAAACGCAGAAACTCCTCAAAGTCTGCAGTCACCTCTGACCGCCTCTTGAGCTCTTGTGCTCCCCGCACCCATCTGCAGAGCAATCACAAGCTGCATATGAATTGCCTCAATTGGTAGAAATGTTCGCTCGACCCAACCGTCTAATCACGTGAATATCCCCCAAGCTGAGCAAGCCTGCAAGAAACATTCGGAACCTATATGCATTCCCCGCATATTCAAGCCTTCTTCCGCGGAGTGAACCGTAATTGAAGGGGCGGCAGTGTTACAGTAAAAGTATCCAATATCTCATTTTCGAAAGCCTCTCCTGTCTCACCGGGTGCAAACGACACGTCGAAATTCTGCGCAACCATGGAAAGCGAGATGCGCAGACTCATCTGAGCCAGGTTCTTTCCGGGGCAGCTGTACGCGCCTTTGGATGTGTTAGTTGACTGACCTCTAGAACACTGCCATCATTGCATCGAGGCACTCACCTAAAGAAAAAGGTAGATATGGTGCCTTGTCAGTTTCCATCTCTGCCCTCTTTTCGCCGAACCGCTCGGGAATGAAGTCTTCTGCCTGTTGCCACCATCTAGGATCCTTTTGAATAAGCGATACTGGTATGACCACGTTTGTCTTGCCAGGAATATATCTGTTGTCTACCATGATGCCCTTTGCCGGCGTTTCTCGCGGTCCGCCAGTCAACACCGCTGGACGAAGTCGCAGTGTCTCACTAATAAAGTCATCAATATAAGAGACCGATTTTACTTTTTCATATGACCACTCGTTGTATCCGCTTGGCATTGTCTGATCAAGGAGTTGTTGAAGTTTTTTCTGCTTCTCGGGATACTTGGCGAGGAAGAAGAGAGCTCCTGCAAGAGTGGTGGCAGTAGTCTCACTGCTGTTGTATTAGCTGCTAGTTTCTCTTTTTTTTGATTGAAAATTTTCTACCTTCCGGCAATGATCATCACTCTTGAATCATCCTCGAGTGCGGCTGCGCTTTTGGGCGCAGTAACGTCCTTTTCCTTGACGGCTTTCAACAACCAAGATATCACATCTTGTGGATACTTTTCGCTATCCCAAGTCTACAGTCTGTCAGTTCACCAGCTCCATGCAGTACATCTATGAGAAATGTACCTGATGTTTTTCCCTAATTTGTCCTGCACAAAATGAGAAGAAATCGGCATACCCCGCCGCCGCTCCAGGAATTGAACTCAAGATATACAACAACCACGGTACGGGGCTCATTGTCCCTAGCATGGTCATGTGTTCATGTACGCCTTTGATGGCAACATGTTCGACACCGCTTTTGAGGTTGTTGAAATCTTTTCCAAAGCCAACATCGCCCATAACATCGAAACTGAAGAACATTGACCAGGCCGAAGCATCCATAGATGCCTCTCCTTTGTCGGCTAGCTGGCTCTTGAATAAATCTGCCTTGGCTTTGATACGTGGCTCGTATGTGTTGAGTGCTGTTCAACGTCAGCACAAACCACTATACCTCGCGGGCCCGTACAAACCTTTGATAGAGAAGCCACGGTCCCAAGCACGACGGCGAAGACGATGGGCATTGAAGTCGCGTGTCATGTGGATCGAGCATTTTCGGTGATCAGTTCCAGTTTGGTCATACCATGTTGACTTCAGGCACTCTGAACCGGGTCCATACAGGATCGGAACTGCTGAGCTGCGTAGAACACTAATTTCTCGCGGCCCTAGAGGTCATATCAGCAAGCGCTCATTCCTGAGTTTCCGAGTACACGACTGCTCACCAGTACGCACAAAGTCGCCATACAGCTCGTGCATCTTTTCCAGATCCTTGTAATACTGAACGTTCCTTGCCGCGAGCCATGCTGCGTGAAACTTTGTCACTTTAGCAGCAACTGGGCCAGGGAATTTTCGGCATCGGTGGAACATTAATCGATAGATTGTGATGGCGGTTAGCAATGCAGTGCTGAAGCTTGTAGCGAACAGCAAAGCCTTCAACATTCCGAACACGTAAACCATGCCGAAAAAGGTGACCACAGAGGCTACCATGAAATGTACCATGATGACCTCGAATTCGATGGGAAGAATACAAAGATGGAAAACGACGCCAAATAGGGCTGCTGCCAAAGCACCCTGAAACGCATCTACTTGGGCAATATTGTGTGCAGCATCCTGGATGACTTCCATTGCAGCCACCAGAGCTCTCAAAGATTGGTTACACTAACAAGATTAGGGAAAAAAGTGATTTCTGAAATGCTCAGAGGATTGATGGTTTGGGGTTGCGTCCCCTAGTAACTAAAAAGAAAGCACAGCACGGTGCGACCTTCAATACGAGCAGGGTTGCACCCGCATATACGACTTACCAATATCTACCAATGTTCCATATATGCAAACGCCTAGGGTGGGTCCTTACACGTAGTCGACAGACTAGGTTCCTCTTGGTAAAGGTGACGCAGCTGTCACGCAGCCCTGGCAGGGAACAGTCCTGCGGGGTATCTACTAAGTTTCGTTAAGGTCCGACTGAAGCAAGGAGCAAGACTCCGGACATGTCAGATCACATGAAGCGGCGGCATCTCGATTAGCAGTATACTACAGGTAATTATAGTCTTTCTGTTTGCTACCTCTATTTGAAGTAACTTGGCTATGTCTACTGGAAGTACTTCCTTGTATATAACTCATAACGAGAAACAACTTAAATCGGGTACAAGGCACCCCCCTCTTGCACCGGCCAGGCTTTTATCGCCCTTTATTTCCACAATATTTGGTCAAGAAAGTCAAATAGCGGTTCGCATAAATGCCGAGGATGCGCGTAACCTCTTCGACAGACATTCGGCGGAAGTAAGTAGTATACACGGCTGTCCCAACCCCGCCGCCGATCTGGGCGGAAGTTGCGAAGAGTAGTAGTAGATCATACCTATCACAGCTCTTTGCTACGACACTACGGTACAGCTTCGGTGGTCGGGAAGTAACGGGGTAGTCGCCGATGCATGTGAGTTGATTCATAGCTTGCCCGTCATCAATGCCAAGCCCCGTTGTCTACCCAACATGTTTTCTGAATACCGGCTCAAATAGCCGGACAACAGTATCAAACTCGGCAAATCGTCCGCAACTTCTCGTCGATCATAATCTTGGTCTAGACAACGTTCCCATCGCTCAAATAAACTCAAAAAGAGGCAAGACTGTACGAAGATCGAGCGAGCCATGTCACCCGTCGAGAAACCTGTTTGGCCGCCTATTATTGATTGGCAGGCGAACTACAGGTTCTAACATGGAGGATTCTATCGTTTGGTGGGTACTGAGGACCCTTACTATGCTACATGGCACAAGTTATGTGTGTAGGGGCGTGCTAAAAT